GGCCTGATCCCCTGGTTGTCCCGCTCATGCCTTGTGAGCGCCCTCAAGATGAACCGCTCCATAATCTTCCCCGGCACCGAGGTCAGGCTGACAGGCCTGTAGTTCTCCGGATCCTCCTTCCGGCCCTTCTTGTGGATGGGCGTCACATTGGCAAGCCTCCAGTCGTCCGGGAGACATTGTTACATGTCTTTAATTTCTGGGCCAGAAGCATAAAGCTAGGTAATTGGCGGTACATTTGTAAGTAATACGTATGGAAGCCTGGCGTTCGGATAGCTTGTGCAGAAGCTCAGCAGAAAGTCGAGGGAGCCCACCCTGTGTTCTGAACAAACTTGGAAGCGGTCACGTTCCCCGTACACAGTTGTCTACCTCCTCTTTCGCTGCTCATTTAAAGAGATGTCCCTAGCCACTGTCTCGGTGTGAGCATGCGTTTCTAGTCTTCATTTGCAATCATACATTCTTCAGACGGCATGACCTTACATGTTTTTCAATTATTTCTTTCTATTTTTAAGGGGACATTTATAGGCTGTTACTGAGATACTACAATGAAGAATGCAGAAGCTGTTCTACTTCAGGACCAGATGTCAAGCTGTACTCTTTCATATACAACACCATTGAGTCCTATGCAGATTCTACTGATGATGATGATGAAGAAAAAGGGTTGTGCTTTGAGGATTAAAATAAATGTACTTGATCAGAATACTGTTCATCTCCTCCCACTGGTATATTGTGTGAATCGCTGGGTATAATGTATGAATTGGCTTAACTTAATATACAGAGACTGCATTGGTAGTTATGTATAACACCCAAACAAAAAACCCCACCTTTGAGAGAGACGAGATTTTTTTGCTTGATGGCTTCGTACATGAAAACCTTGTTCATGTGTGTACAGAAAAGATTTCTTTGGTAAGTCTGGTTTGCGTTATACCTTGTTAAGCAGGATATTTTGGCACACATTCGTACTTCAGCCAGGAGATTGCTGAAGGACTTCAGAAGATTTCTCTGCACTCCTTTGCCTTTATTTTTCAGAGATGTTGTCTAGATTTCTCGTGTAAGCTTAGTGCTGGAGGACAGGCAGCCGTGTAACTCCCGGGATGATTTTAGAGAGAAGCATTGTAACGATCGTTCTTACTGAAAATTGCCATAATTTGATTACCTCCTTCAGACTGCCACGGTACCTTCAGTGTTCTTATCAACTTCTGCATTCATTTAACTTAAAATGTCCTGGGTCTAATCTATTTTTTTAATAAATGGTTAAAAATGGAAAGATTCTGGAGGAGCTATAAGACATTTCATAACTGCGTTGTCTTTATCGAATCAGACATGAAAGTTAGCACGAAGAAGTAGAGAAAAAAACAAAGTATGGGAGGGTGGGAAAATGAGAAATGTGACCGAAGTTAGAAGCGGAGGGAAACATTTTCACACGAAACTCTCCAATACCATTTTGTTGGTGCTGTCTGTTACAACACTGAGCAAGGTCTCGGACGCGTTAGCGTATTTGAAGTTTCTCAAGGTTCACTGTTGTTGGCGATACCATTTGAATTGAGGTCTGCTAGTTGTGTTTCTTTTGTCATACCCGTTCTCCTTTATCGCAGTGTGCATACGTGTGAGTGTAAGATCCCCATGGGATAGGGCCAGTGAGGAAATGGAAATCACTTACGCATCAGTGGGAGGAAAGTCTGCGGGCTGCAGATAAGAACATGAGCTCGTTAGGAGTTTGCGCCTGTGTCTTTTTAGGCATGGGAACGATAACAATGAAGGGAGGGCAAAAGATGTGTAAAAACTGTGCTATTACTATCTCTGTGAATACCAAATTAGTGTTGGTGTAGTACGTTAATAGTTTACACAAAACTGCAGATACGTCTGTGATAAAACTTTTCCGGGTCTATGTACGGGGCCAATCCAATGAAACGTTTGCCTGTTAGTAGTTTAAACCCAGTTTCAGTTTAAGCCCAAATTGCGAAGTTTAGCCTCTTCCGCGTTAGATTTTTCTGGTCCGTCATGGTCGCTGTTGCCAGTTTAGCAATACCAGTAAAAACCGCAGCAGGGAATGCAGCGAGCTAAGGCTCTAGTATCCACAAATCCCTTCGGCTGATGTCAGGTAAAACCCCTCCAAGCCTGAAACGCAGCACGGTAATTAAATGCTGGAAGCTGTTGGCAGCCTGGCCTGCAGTAAAGCACGCGCCGCTTGAGCTGCTCTGGCAGAAGCACCCGCAAAGAGTTTGGGTCGTCTGTAAACGCCTTCAGTGCTGCACCTGCGCATTCACGCCAGGCGGGCAGCTCGGAAGCGCCTTGCTTGGAAGGTGACGGGCGCAGCAGTTTAAGGGCTCCTTCCTACTCTTCCCGCCAGCTGCGGTTTTCTCCACCCCCATCCCATTATAAGGAAAAGATTTGGGCTAGAATTTCAGGCCTTTTTCCGTGTTTGCAGCTTGTGTCCTCGGAGTTAGCGGAAATCTTTTCTCCTGCTCCTGGCGTTTCAGTGTTGGCTCAGCTGCTGGCAATAGGAATAAGTGTTTTCTAATAAGCCCTTATTTGGGCATTTAGGTTCAACTATGATAGTGCTTCTAGATGCATTGCCAATGATAAATGTACCCTGTTAATTAAGACAAGTGATGGAAAATCGGTGCTATCTGCCAAACCTTCTTCACCTTACTACTCAGGATTTCCTATAAAAAAGGTGAACAAAATCTGTTCCTAAACAACTGGAAGAAAATACAGCAAAAAGCTTTAGGTGGCTAGGTATGACCTCCCCTTTATTGTCAATAAATACGTCTGTATTGGTGCAATATTCATTTTCATTGTGAGGGGAAGCGATTTGTCAGGCATGAAAACTGTACCAAAATAAGACGGCATAAAATTCTACTTCAACTCTGGAAACAGACAAATATATTTAACTTTGGAAAGATTCTCTGAAGATCCTGTCGTAGGGTGTCCAGTTAAGAGGGTTTTTGCAGAGCCGCGTGTTTCCAGGGTAATCCTGGTCACTTTATGCAGTCCCTATTTTCACTGGTGTCTGAGAATTTTCTAATACGGGGAGGAATGCCGTTTATTTGAGATCATTCTTTAGGATATGTTTACCGTACATTCCCCCCCGTGAAATACAGTTGTATGGACAGGAGAAAAGGAAAATAATAACTCCTTTTCCGTTTAATGTGTCATCTGAGTAAGGGTGATACATCCTGCATTCTGCCGTGTGTCCCTGATCTCGTAAAGGGCAATGGTGTAAGAACACTTTGAATACGCCTTTGATCGCAGACAGGCTGAAGATTGTTTTTCTTGGTTGTTTTGGGGGTTTGTTTTAAGCAAAATAGCCCAGAGTTAACAAATTAACAACGGTGTTACGTTCCCATGACTTTCTAATTCAATAAAGAGCTAAACTGCCCGGAACGCTGCATGCGGAAGCAGGAATTTTGCATCAGCCCAATACGTGCTCCGCATCTTTCTTTTTCCCCCCCACCCACCGCTCTCCGTTTATAAACCACCGGGAACGTTTCCCTTAGCTGGAGACGCCTTGTGGGGCTCTGTTTGAAGCAGCGTGGAACGGAGGTGCCGATGATCTTTGTGCAGCCTAGTAAGCTTCAGTTCCACTCTTCTAGAAACCTGTTTATGGAGTGTTCCGGGTTGGGGGGGGGTTATTACTTTAGGGATGTTTGCTATATGATTTAAAATAAAAATAAACTTCCTACCAAAACTTTTGTTTTATACTTTTTAGCAGCTAAATCGAATGCTTAATATGAAACGACAACAGGCAGTCGTGGAGATTGCGGTGTCGCCTCACAGTCAAGTTTGGTGTCGGAGCACTTTGGTGGTTTTACAGCTCTTGCACCTAAATTCCTCAGTTCTGAGGTGTTCTTATCTAATGATGAGTACCCATTACTGTATATATTAATTTATAAACTGTTGAAGTGTTTCTGACATTCTTCTAAACTTACAGTTTATGCACCATTATATTATATTGATTTTTCTGGATCTGTATGCTAATGTTTACATGATTTTGTAGGAATACGATTAAAAAATTCGACTGAAGCAATACTGAGTGCTTTGTCTCGTAATACACTTTCCAGGACGGAGAAATTCCAGCACGCTTGAATGTACGCGGCACGGTACTACAGGTGGCTCTAGCAGTAAAGTTAATAATTCAGGTATTCTGACACACAAAACACAGCTAAGTGATTTATTCTCACTGTACAATATTGCAGCGGTCGCTCCCGTCTGCGTAGCAGTGTCACAAGGAAGTAACTACGGTGAGTTGGAAGGGCGTCAGCAGGAGTGTGAGGTTTCATACGTGTGTGTGGCTGTAAGCAGACATTTCGATGGTAACTCCCAATTTGCTTTTGGTGAGCAAATGAGTGTTCGATGATTCCTCGAGCTTCATGAAGGAAATATAACTAAATAAAACCCTAAAAAGATAGAAGTAACGAACACGTTGCATAAATGTTTGCATGGTTTGTAAAAGTGGGACTGACATCCTCCTAAACGAAAAGATTTAGAACTGTTTTTCAAAAATCTTGGTTTAAGCCAGTAAGGAACTTTTTTTTTTTTTAGCATTACAGAAAATTAGGATAAAATACAATTTCTGATTGCTCCGAAGGTTTTAGATGTAGCCGAGCTTATTAAAGTTTGCAGTGTTAATACCGAAGGCTTTAGTCTGTCGTACGGCAGCGACAGTAACAAGGCGCTGACCAGCAGGCACGTCCGCAGAAGCAGGAACGAGCAGCTTGGTGGTGGCTGAGCGGGGCTGCCCTCTGCCACGCTCTCCCTGGCTGCCGCGCGCTGGGTCTCGGTTCACCCTCAAGCACGGCTTGTCGCTCCTGGGTTTAGATTTAATTCTTCTGTAAATGGTGGAAATGATACCATCCTCTGTAAGAGGCGTTTGGCTGAGCGTTGGATGACCTGGAGACGACAGACTTCTGGTAGCGTGATGACTGGGTAGAGGAGGGTTGATGCCCTTCGTGTTGTACCTTGTAAATCCCAGGTGATGGGGAAGCAGAAGGTGCTGACACACTGCGGCTGCGGTGGGGAAGCAGCTGCCAGTCTCCCCTGCCCCAAGCTGTCTCTGCTCTGGCTGTAGTCAGCAGACGCCCTCAGGGATACGCTTTATGAATTCTTAAAAGCAGCTGGAGCCTGTGGAGATAACCCCTTAGGGCTAAAGCACAACCGCAAGGGTGACTTCCCTGTGGACTTCTCCCTTTTTCTCCATTGCAAACCACTGGCCTCCCACCGGTGTCAGTACTTGGGTAGAGGAGTCCCAGACGACTGAATTTCACCTTTTGACATTTACGTTCCAGTCTGCATCCTCCTGGCCTAAGCAGCTTTCTGTGGCAGAAGGACAGGCAGGTGGATGTCGGACCTTGGGATACCAAAAGCTGTTACAAGCTCCGTAAGGTCCACCGATGTATTTGTGTATTAGCCAGTGTAGGGCGATGCAGTATTTGCTCTGGATGGATGACTGGGGTTTCCCCCCCCCCCCCCCCTTTTTTTTTTTTTTTTTTTTAAATTATTCTTTTTTTTTT